AAAACCGGACCAAACCGTTAGGTTTAGGTTTGAGTTTTTTTCAAACCGGTCAAAACGGTTTGGTTTAGGTTTGAGCTTTTCTCAAACCGGTCAAAACGGTTTGGTTTGAAAATTTGTCAAAAATCGCAAAAACCGGACCGCTTACACCCCTACAAGCATTATTGATATAGATTATTTTACCCAACGTTATTGTTGACTAGGCTTTCTAACCAAATCCCCAGTTTTTAAGCCTTCTCCTGTAATTCTTATCAATTCTTAGCCCTCTGACAACTTCCCCTTTTTAGCTCTATTAAGCCCTCTGGAACAGTTTTATCGGTGTCTCATTTTTACGTTTTTCTTTCTCTTCTCTTTTCCCCATCTCTCTTTCCCCCTTTTCTTTTTCCCTTTTCTGGCGTTGGGCGTTAATTTTGCTATTCATGTTTATTCCGTTATAGCAAATGAATGATTTTGCCAAAAATCTGTAGGTTGATTCCAGTCCGCTCCAAGCGTGTAGAAAAATCTTTTTTTGGAGAAAGAACAATGCATTGAAAGGAAACCCTTTAGAGCCTAAACCCACTATTCTTGCAGATTCTTTCTTTTATATAGTTTAAACACCAAAGAAATGAACAACTGGGATGATGAATTCCATGCTGAACATAATGCGACAGGAACTAAGAATAAAACTGTATAATATAAAAGTTAAAACAATGACTTTTATCGCAAACCACCAAGACTGGCACGTTGTTGGTTTTATGGGTTTTGACCTGTGATAACTGTTTTTAGTTCTTATTTTTTATTTTATTTTATTTTTATCCATATTTACCTTATCGTTTTTCCAAAGGTTAACCCTGCTTCCCTTTTTTTAAGTTTGAAGTGGGGGACATCTTTTTCCAAATTTAATGGCTTTTTAAGCCATGAATAAAGTCTTATTGACCCCTGATAAAAGAAGGGACACACAGACCTACTGTTTCACTGTGCAATTCCCCTCTATAGGTGTTTGAGTTATAAAAGGTCGGTTTTTAAGCCCTCTTAAGTTTTTTTGGCCAGAATTATTTGTTTGTTTCCAAAAGTAGTACAAAAACACGTATGGACCTATCCATGTGGAGCATGGATTTGATTTGCACTTTGCTCATACATGTAATGGCTCTCCAATTCATAATTCTGGGATTCTTTTAGGTTGAGGTTCCGAAAAACAAAGGAAATCGTAGGATGCAACGTTATTATTTCAGATCTATATCTACAATGATAGTTTGCATATGGTCCTCCTGGCTTGTTCACCAAACATCCGAGCCGTTTGACTTTGCTCCCACTGGTTTGGTCAAGCTCCACCTTTATCTTTATTTAAATGATTTATAGTTAATCTCAAAGAGTGGAAATTGCATTGCCAA